TCAAGGATCTCCATCATTCCCAGCGAGAGGTCTCAGTAAGAAAAGAAGACAAATAGTAGATGTGCTCTTTAAATTTCCTCTGAACGAAAAGGCAAACGAAAATGGCAATAGGAAATAAGTTCCGTTTGCAAAAAATGTCTCCTACTTCGCGACAAAAATCTGCATTATTGCTTTTCTATAAAAAAATAATACGTTTTTCTCAAGTACAAGCGACGGTTTTCTTTTCTACGGGCTGCATTTCAAGTACATGGTATGGTAATTACTAAATACTAAACTAAATATCAAGAAAAGATTTCCCTCTTAAAAGTGATAATCAATTCGTTTGGGCACAACAAGGCTTTTAAGTTCCTGCTCTTCATAAAAGGAAACGATGGCTGACTTTGATAAAAAACGCTCCTGATAACCTTAAATTTGCAAAATCTTAAGCCGCACGCGCTGTTATTGTTCTTCTCATCAATATTATTTTTGTTTCGCCACGTTCCCCTGCCGTCGCCGCCGTCGTGGTTTAGCTAAGGCCACAACGAAGATTTCAGGCCGACTATCTCAGGCAGAGATTACCTTAGCTCATTTGCTACCTAAGGTAAGCAAGGATTACTTTGTACAGTTAGTTCAATGAAAAAACAAGGCAACAAAATTAGATCTAGCACTTGGGGCGTAAGAACTCACCTGCCCTGCAGCACGTCCCAGTATACCCTGGTCTGCAATAACAGCCCGAACCGTGAGGTCGGCCGTAATTTGCACAGAGCCCTACATTGCACCTCTTGGATTCGCGCATATGAAATGAACATGAACCACAGTGATTCTGAGAGCTGGTCACACGGCGCGATCTCCACTTTACACCACCAGTGCCACAAGGATAAGAACAGCCACCCCAGCTAGACCAGCCGCTAACTCTGCAATCGACGCAAGGCACCGTTGGTGACCTCCGACGTCGACGTCGACGTCGCCTACCCCAGAACGGTTGACAGGATTCGATAAAAAGCATTTCGATGCAGAGCCAGACAAACACATTCGTAAGTTTCACCATTTTTCGCCAAAAGTACTTTTCTTCCCTTCAAGCAACACACTAAAAAACAGCACTGAGCAAGCAAACGTCCTTACTTAGCCGGCGTGAATTCTTAGGCAATTTTTAAAATCAAGTCGCACCTTTTTTATGTTATCGCCAAAAAGTGTGACCTATGACATCACATCACCAGCTGTAGACAGATTACAAGGAGGTAATTTTTACTCCCAGGTATCGCAAGCTCTAGGTTACTTATTTGTTATTTCAACAGATTAAGAGCGATACTCGATAATAACTGTTTTGTTGTTGAATCGAAACCGCATAAAAAAACAAAACAAAACAATAAAAAATCGCATTTTTTTGGGTGCAATAACGTTTCAGCTGCGCATGCAACAGCAGCTGATGAACTCAATTGAAACGGCTTCACCGGG